TGGATCAAATGAAACCTCTACGAAGCCACCATCAATGAACGGCTTTGCCCAGCAAGCTAATTCCATGGATCCCAACATGCCACAAAGTGTTATGAATGGCTTTCAACCTGACAAGGTAAAGTTTTTCCTGGTTATTTTAGTCTTAACAGGTCCTGTAAAATGGACTTTATTAAAATTTAATTGATTGTTTGAGTCTGTGACAATTTGTTTAGATTTGATGTTCTATTCAAAGAAGATTATTTCAAGAAACTATTTAAACATGTGAGATGGTGTCAATAACTCTTAAAATCGACTCTAGAATTAAATTTGAAGTAAAAAAAATTTACATGGAAAAATAATAAAATAATTTAGAGTAAAGTTAGTTAAAATAAAAGATAGAAAAATAATAAATATTTTAGAAATATTAAAATTAAGTCTTAAATATAAAAATGTTGTTGGGGGCGAAACTCTCTAAATTTATAGATGAATATACTTTTTTATTTTTAAAGAGTCTATTTGATATGCTTTTAATTTGTTACAACTGTGTAAAGGCTGCAATTTTTTATTAGTTATGTCAACCATAGGCCATAGCATTTTCTCTGGTAAAAAGAGTGCACGCAAATCGAGAACTTGATGAGGACAGAGGATGTATCCATTTTGTCTATTTCTTCTTCTTTTAAGAAAAAATATCTATACATCATAATAAATTATTAAAATCAACTATTAGTTAAACTAATCTACAAATTTAATCCTGTAATTAATTGAATAATTGTGCTACACGAACATCGGGTTCGACATCGGGGAGGGGTCGAGCATTATTTTATTTATGCAGGACCCACACATCCATGTGAGTGCGCGATCATCAGTGCAGTTATTCTGGCAGATCATTTGGCTTTATTCTTAATTGAAAGAGGAGATATTCAAAGAACTTTAAGTATACATAACCAGCAGGAGTGCTATACTTAGTTGTTTTGAATCTTTTAGTAAATCAAGCAATGATCGTGCAAGGAAAGGATTTATTTAATTGTCATAAATTTGTAGCTCTTTCGGTGAATCTATCATTGAATCGAATGGGAAAAAATTCATGTACCTACCACAATTTTGTTGGGCTTAGAATGTTTGTTGTTGTATAATTTTCAGGTTGCAGTTTATAAGACCTTGGTATCTGAATTTGCAGTCTGTGATCGGTGGTTCGCGTCGGTGCCATCTTCAACTCAACCAAATCGGCTCTATGTCCACTCCGGAACCTCCCATGGGGCCACCTCCAATGTGGCAGCGCTGCTCGCCAAGGGCTACCCACAGCGCACGATTTTCGAGGACCTTGACGATGCGGGGATATCATTTGGCATTTATTACCAAAATATTCCTGCCACACTCTTTTACAGAAACCTAAGGAAGCTCAAATTCCTAGGAAAGTTCCATCCGTACGACCTTTCATTCAAGAATGATGCTAAAAATGGAAAGTTGCCAGGCTATGTTGTGGTGGAGCAGAGGTACATGGACTCTAAGGTGGAGCCCGCAAATGACGATCATCCATCACACGATGTGTATCAAGGCCAAATGTTTGTGAAGGAGGTGTACGAGACATTGAGGGCAAGTCCACAGTGGAATGAAACCCTGTTCTTGGTCACTTATGATGAGCATGGTGGATTTTATGATCATGTGGCAACACCAGTTAATGGGGTTCCTAGCCCTGATGGAATTGTCGGTCCTGAGCCATTTTTGTTCAAATTTGACAGATTGGGAGTTAGGGTTCCTACCATTATGGTTTCTCCCTGGATTCAGAAGGGTACTGGTAAGTCAACATTTTGCTGTTAGTATTATTCGGTCAGAAAAAGACATCATGATCTTGTTCAAATTATTGTCGAGTCTTTTCCAGTAATGCTTGCGAAACGTGTTGCTTATATAGCACCCAAACTACTTACGCTTTACCTGGTAAGACGACCTTCCGAGATTACAAAAACTTAAAAACATATGGCAATAAATCAGACGGAGTGAAGAAAATAAACTAAGTAGCTGACCCGAATTTGTTGGGACCAAGTAGGGCTGGGCAAATCTCCCGAATCGAACTGACTGAACTGAACCCGAACTGAACCGAACATGACGGTTTTCATCAAATTAAATACCCGAACGGGTATTTGAATTGAGAACCGACGGATACGGTTCGGTACTCGGTTGAAAAATCGAATAAGAACCAAATTTTTCTATTTTTTTTTTATATTGAATAAATCAAATTATTTTAATTTTAATTTTGAACCCGAATGGTTCCATAATTATATTTGGACCCGACGGTTCCATTTACTAGATACCCGAAAATTTTGAGACTTCTTAAATGCCTGCACATGTAAAGTAAATGCATCATTCAATGCTTTTGGGGATTGGGATCATTGACATAAAGCTCCCATTACTATATTTTTCCATCTGTTATAACACGTGATGATTTAAATAAGTAAGTTGAAGTTTGAAAAAAGAAGACAAATTATATGTTGAGACTTATGTTGTCTTAATCATGGAACGTGGTCCTCCACACCATCATTAAGAATTAGTTTGTTTGGTACGAGAGAATTGTATAGGATTAGGCAGTACTAAAAGCAGGACACGAGTGACAATCTCGTCATGCCTTCACATATACAAGAAATCACAAGAATGGATTGTTAAGTTTTTTAAAATTTTAACCTTATTTGAGACAATATTTGGATAATGATGCAGTTGTTCATGGACCTAATGGCTCACCAACTCCAACATCAGAATATGAGCATTCCTCCATTCCAGCAACGGTTAGGAAGATTTTTAACTTGTCTTCACCTTCTCTTACAAAAAGGGAGGCATGGGCAGGAACTTTTGAAGCCATTCTCCAGAAGCGCAGCGAGCCCAGAACCGACTGCCCTGGTAAATTTGGTATCCAATTGTTTATCTGATCTTTATTTGGCAGAATATACAAGTAACATTGCGTGTTTTGCTGCACTTGTTACACAGAACAACTGCCGAATCCGGTTAAGATTAGGCAAGGAGATGCGAATGAAGATGCCAAAGTAAGCGAATTTCAACAAGAACTAATACAACTTGCAGCAGTAATGAAAGGGGACGATATCTTAACATCTTTCCCGGTAAAGATTGGTAAAGAAATGACAGTCCGGGAAGGGAAAGAATACATGGAAGATGCAGTGAAGCGCTTCTTCGAATCAGGTTCTGTTGCTAAACTTATGGGTGTTGATGAAGAGCAGATCATAAAAATGAGACCCTCTCTTTCTACAAGATCATCGAAACCTCAAACTCGAATCCCATAAGAATAACAGGGATTCGTGTTCAGTAATCTATACAAGTAATAACAAAATATGTAGAATATAAATTTCCCCGGTCAAAATCTCCTCTATGTAAAAGGATAAGGAATGTAAATGTATTTACCACGATGTTCTGAATGAAAAGCTCAGTTCCATGTCTTCTACTTCCGATGAACTGTTGTGCACTTCGTTTGTAATAACCCCAGCTACTAATGATTGAGGATACAAAATTCAAAACATTCGACTAAGCAAAATATGAAATTTAATGCTGTTAATGCAGTATGATCGAAATAGGATCAGTATCTGACAGGAAACAACATATTTCTCCAGAAGGCTGCCAAAAAAGGAAAATGGACTTGAGCAAAAGTCTCCTTAGACTTCATCTGACGTCGGAATTCCAAGAAGATTATTCAGAACACTGAAAACAGAGAAAGATATTCACTGTGTCCCATTCAGGAATATTTACGGTTGCCTCTTTCACCATCTTCACCAGTCTAACATGTACAAAATGCATAATCAATGCAAATGCAAACAGAATTTGTCTTCACTTTTTTGTTTTTAAGTTCTTATTTCGTTGTTAACAACCAGTCAACCACATTGTGCATCGTTACGAAAAATCATGAACCCTCGGTACATTTCTAGAACCCTTTCGTTCTCAGCCACTTTTATGTAGAAAAATGGGAATGCGGCCGGCTGTTTTCGAGGTGCTAAATTTGACAAAAGGATTGACGATTGTATGGTCAGGTTTGACCATTAAAATCTACCAGCATTATTCATATGATAATAGTTTTCCGCAAAAATTGGAATCATTTGGACGTGTGTATATAGGCGACATATAGATTTTTAGAGATGACACTCTTCCTCAATCGTTGCTTTCTCCAACCACTGAACAGATGATGTAGCCGGTAGCCCTACAAACACAGTTTATCAGTACACACCGTGTTTATATGAACTTCACGAACATGGAATTTGGCACTACCCTTTCCACTTCTCGACTCGTCATGCATCTTAATGTCAGAATCAGACCATTCCTTTAAGCCTCGTCGACTAGGCTTGAAATGCGTTACCCAAGTTGTGAAATTATTCGTCGCAAAGAAACACCAACATGGAGGGAAGGCGATGCATGCCCCATTTTTTTTTTTTTTTTTCTTGCAATCAAATCATTCCTATACTAAACAATCGATCAAACTCTTCAACACTACCCAAATGCTCAATCTATTAAGAATTTCAGCAAAAGATAGCATCTTTGACACAAATATTCAGTGCTCGATGCAAATGGAACATAAAATATATTCTTGTTTTAAACAAAAAATATCAGGACAGAACAGAATGAATCTAGAGACAGACTTGCGACGTCCGTTGTTAAAGTTACAAAAAGTGGGATCAGAATTTTAAATATAGGTTTTATGTTAAGCAACCCGACTAATTAGTTCTATAAACAAAGACTATTTCTTCGTTGAACTTGAATCTTTCTCCTCTGCTTTTGTTTAGTTTTTATTTTTTATTTTTCACAAACCATAGTCCAATCAGTGGGAAAGACGAGCATCCCTAATTCTGAACAAGCTCGACAGCAAATCACAAAATCTTGATGATCTTTCAGTCTAATAAATGAGAGTTTTGCTTTCAAATCAGTCGTCCTACACTGATTCCCAAAATGAGAACTATTAGATTAGATAATTTCAATAGTATCACTGTATCAGTGTTAAATAGTATGCATATAAATAGAAAGAAACCGTGCAGTTCATGCCAACTCTGATTTATTCGGTTAAACACTGACGTTTTTAGTTCAAGAAACTCCAACAATTAAACCAGAAGTTTAAAACACAATCTAAATCAGGAATTAAACTAGAACTAGCAAATGTACAGTACATAGGCAACAGCAACTAAATCTAGATTAGTACAAGAATGGGCAACATACTAATAAAGCCCATCCTTATAAAGCCAGCCTAATATCCTTATTTTCCACAAACAAATGCAAGGAAACACTATACATAACAGAAACCGAGGGCTTTTCGCCCTCAAGTGCGACCTAAACGAACCAAATGTTGCTGGTGCTTTGCAGCAGCTGCCTTGTCAGCAGCTTCACGCTTCAGTGCCCGTTTTGCACGTCGGCCAACAGTTTCTTTAGCAACAGCAGTAGCAGCCTCAGAATCAGCAGCTTCTTTCTTCTTCCGCTGACGAGAAGGGCCAGCACCAGAATCCTGAAAGTTTGGTCGAGCAATTGGTCGAGCTTCTTTCCTTCCTGCCCTAACATACCCGTTGTCTCCCCATCTTCGATTACCAATGCGGAGACTTGAGGAACTAGCTAAGTAAATATCATCATCCTCTTCCTCATCCTCGCGATAATAATCTTCGATTTCTTCATAAGCCTCTTCCAGTTCCACCACAATCAAAGGCTTGAACCATGAGGCTCTTAGGAGGAGGCACACACTCTCCTCGAACATGTAATCATGAATGCTGTCAAAATACACACATTTTGTGTAAGATAAAGACAGAGAAAATATGAGTGGCAGCATTCAACCAGTCTAAAAGATGATTGAGAAAGAATCTATACAGGTAGGAAGTTCAATTCACGAAATCTAGTCCCATATCATAATTGATGTTTTTGTAATCATTCATGTGCAATTATTTGTCATAAACATAAGTTGCGTGGAAAATATCTAATTATGCACGTTCCCCCAAAACAACAAACAAAAGACAAAAAGGGTGCGTGTCTTTCTCAAAGTACATGACTCCACAAAATAAATCATGTCAAAAGCCTTTATGAGATTCATGCTAGTAATAAAATTAAGAATTACTAATAATTATTCAAAGGAAACCATTGTTTTATACATCTTCCAACCGGGAAAAAGAGCTGAAAAGTAAGAAATGCTAAAATACCTTCCATCTAGTGAGCGGTGGATATTCAGAAACTTGAATGAATTTTTACACTGAGGACATGTAGGTTCCTTTTTGTAAGAGGCCCATCGCAGTATGCATGTGACACTGATCAAAAAAAGAACAAGAACATCAATTGTTACAAAAATGACATATCTATTTATAATTAGGTAACAAAAATATATTCACACTTAAAAACCATAAAACATTCGCGTTGAAATCAATAAAATGTTCGATGCCATTAAGAGATATACATATAGTAACAACCGAGCAGAATATCACATACCTCAATAAATACAGATCATCATACCTCGCATTTGCCAAGATTTTAGGGAAAGAAGCAACGCTATTGTTATATCAATTAGAAAATGGTAATCAAAATTATGGCAACACATTTAAGAATTAAACTTTTTAATATATAAAGTGGGACTTGAAACACCTGTAATCATGCAAAATATATAATACAAAAGACTAGTGAACCTTAAGTAATTATATTTTGATAATGTAACAATTAAATGTGAGAACAGAATGGGCAAAAAATATGCATCCCTTCTGTCTTCTTACATAGAAGCAGAAGTCTATATATTTATATATGTCAACAAAAGGGATACCTTTGTTTAGATGTGTTTTTTGGTGAGAGGAGAGCAGTAAAGGGAAGAAATGGAATGATAAGATAAATGAAGTGTTATTCAAGGGCACTATTCATAAAGATATAACCTTCTGCAGCAATCCAAAAGTGATGCCAAAATTATAAAGTTTTGCACCTTCTCGTGCAGAATATGGTTGCAAGGTCATGATTACCCACTTGAAATAAATATGGAAAAAGCATGAGCCATGTTAATGTATCAGGTGCCATAGCAAAATAAATGGCGCTAGAAGCATGTGTACAGGTTCATAATTAAGGGCGTGATCTAGTTGCCAAGGCTAATATATTTCACAATATACAATTGCTTCAAATATAAAGGCGTGTTGAGATATTGAACCCAATTCCTGGTGCTATTTCTTTTACCTTCTTCTAGACGAATCAAAAACTAATTCTTGATTCAGAATAACTTCTCTCCCATTTTACTTATATTACAATGCCTAAAGCAATACCTAAAAACACTTTTAGATAAGATATGCATCAAGATGTCAACCCTGGCATTTCATAAATGTTTTTATTCTACAAATACATCACTAGAAAGTTATATTTTATTAAATTATGCACAACAAACCATTGAGTTTAATATCATTGAAGTAATTATCTCAAATATAAGCTCGAGATATTCTTCAAGATGTACTAATATAAATGCATGCAGTGTGGGTAACTTCTTTAGTAGAAATAGTTTTAAGCCGACAAAATCTCATAGGCCAACTCTGTTGAATTTCATGCGCAATATTAAAAAGATGAAAAACGAAAATCAACACAAGAATTTTACGTGGTTCGGCGATGTGCCTACGTTCACGAGAGCGAAGCGGAAATTTCTTTATTCAGTTGTGAAAAATAGGGTTACAACATATTATTTATACTAACCCTAGCCTGGGCCCATATAAAACTTTAAGGCCCGTACAGAAAATACTTCTGTACCGTACCGCGAGAGCGTTGCCCCCGCACCCCCAACCCATTCAGCGTCCCTAACAACCAAACAGTGAATTAAACCCGCGCAAGGCCAATGCAGTCGCTCCGCTCCGTTCCGTTCGATGCGCTCCGCGCCCGCATCGACCCATTTGATCTATAGGGCCTGTGTTCCATTCTATATGAGCCACATGCACAACAAACTCTTTGTGTCATTGGCTACATCCGTCAACAATATGATCCACCCAGCCGCAAGGGTAAATACAATTTGATTCAGTGTTATAACTTATATAACACTGAATTTCATAATAATCATGCAAGCGTACATGACACTAAATTTCATAATAATCATGCAAACAATACATACAAAATATAATTAATTATCTAGCTAAAGAGATTGTACAAACCAGTAGGCATGCTCGCAACCTTTAATGAGGGCAGTTTCTTCAAGAACTATCTTATTCAAACATATTGCACAAAAACCATGATGATTAGTGTTGTTAGTATTGTTAGTCTCGGTCACAACATGGTTAATCTCTTCCGGTACAGCTGTACAAGTTCCCTTCATTTCACACTGAAATTCAGAAATTTAACTGAGTCAATCTATAGAACCAATCCCAAATCTCAATGCCTAACGGAGAAATGGAAACTCCAAGGTTTCCAGGTTTCCAGTTGAACTAAAAACCTCCAAACAAATGAAAATTAAAAAGGGAAAAAAATAATAACAAGAACGAAATAAAAAAGACTCTACAAACAAAAAATCTAAAAATTGAAATAAATAAAACAGACGATATATTAACCATATGTAATATTTTTCCAATAAAAATGTCTGGAAATATTCAGCAAAATGGAGATAGAACTTTAGAATACCAGTCAATAAAAACCCTAGAAAAATCAACTGGGCACCGACGGTAATGACACCAAATCTTAATTTATTTTCTTCCGAATCAGATAAAAAAGGAAATCGATCTTTTTAACTAAAATCGGATCCCATCAGATCAAATCCGCATAAAAACCATTTATTTTCCATTGACGTGTAAAACAAATAAAAATTACATCGAAACCAAATTAAACATATAAAAGCCAGCAGAACAAATATTCCAGACTTTCTTTTCATCATTTCTTGGAATTCCCATAAAAGAATTGGGTCAAAATAGTTCGTACCTGGCCTTGGATTGAGAAACCCTGAAGACCGTTCACGAGTTGCCGACCGACGATTTCATCTGCTGCAGACATGATTATACTTTTGTATTCTAAAGAAATGATAAACCTAAACTAAAAAATGAAAAAATGAATATATACAGATTGGATCATTAGAGAAGGAGAGAAAGAGGTAAAGGGAATCTGGAGTATAATTCTGATTCCAGAACGAAATCCAAGAAAGAGGCGATATGGCTGTTATAAATGCGGTGAAGCACACGGAAGCAGATGCCACGTGGACTCCGCTGATAATATTGGAAGAAACATTAATCATGATGTATGTACCTCTCGCTTCCGATATTGTACTTAATAAATCTTCTTTCAATTTTCCATTCTCCGTTCAAATGCAATAACGCGTTGCAAAGTAATTTTCTAAAAGAATAATGTTATTCGCAGTGAAAATTATGAACAGTCGTCTTATATGACATAAAAATGATATTTTTTTATTTGATGTATAAGTCAATAAAAAATTACCATATCAAGTGTATGTCACGTAGGACAACTACCGACAGTGAAGACTATGAATAGCATTACTTTTTGTAAAAAAGTGTAAAATTATTTTATTGAATGAACGTAGATTTAAAAATAAATTAAATAATTTGTTCCAAGTAGGACATAGTTAATTTACAATAAACGACCCAAGATTAGAATATGCTTTAATCCTCTTTTGGAACAAGAATCACGACTTACTTCTTTTCTTTTTGTTACCAACTTACGAAATCAAATTCTTATGACCGAGCACGAGAAGATTTATTGATAATTGGGATGAAAACTAGAAACTCGAGTGAAGTTTTCGTGGGTCCCCTTTATTGACTGCCGTTAAAGAAATATTGTCAAAACAGACTTTTTTTTCCCTAACAAATAATAAATGTGGAAATTACAGGATTCCCTACTTTAAAAATTCAAAATTCTAAAATGAGGAGGGTAGTTTTATTGTTCCAAAATCAGATGTTTTGCTAAATATATATACTTCAAAAAACCCTAATTATTCCCATTTTCATTTCCCCACCCCGATTCTCTCTCTCACATCTCTCTCTCAACTGTCCAGCGACAGACAATGGAGGAGCTGCACCGTTGCAGCGTTGTCGACCATGCTGCTGCGAACGTCCCCTTTGCAGCATCGACGTACTGATGGCGAGGGTGAGGGTGAGTAGATCTCAATGGAGGTGGTCTGTAGTGTGCGTGCGGTGGTGGTTCGACGAACTGGTGTGTGTGTGGTGGCAGTTAGATCTGTGGATTTGTGGTTGGTGTGGTGGTTGTGGAACGGCGGGTGTGGTGGATACGTGCAACGGTGCGAACTGGTGTGTGTGTGTGTCGATCTGTGGTGGTTGTAGAGTGGTTTGGGGTGGGTTTTGTTGGTTGTGGTGGCGGTAGAGGAGGCGGTGCTGGCCGTTGGGCGGATGCAGTGGTTGACAGTTGTGGAATGATTTGGAGATGGTGCTGAAATTTGTGGCTGTGATTGTGACTCGCAATTGGATGGGTAATCTAAAAAATTGTGTCCGTAACTCACAATTGATGAAGTTGTGGCCGAAAAATTAATCATGACCAATATATCCAATAATTTGCAATAAAAATAATCTGTGACCTAAAAATTTTTGGATTCAGTGACCGATGAATAATTCGTGACTTATAAAATTTTTAGATTCGTGACCAAAAATATTTCTGTGACCTATAAAATTTTCGATTTGTGATCAAAAAATAAGTTGTGACCAAAAAAATTGATAAGTTGTAACTAAAATTTAATCCGTGACTAATTAATGAGATAACTGTAACTTCAATATATTTAATTAATAAAATATATATTTAATAAATTAATTTATAAATAAAATTTAAAAATCTGATTTTTGAAACTTTAAACCTTTATTTTTAATTTTGAAAAGGGGTATGCTTAGAAGAAATGATTTTTTCCCATAATAAATTCTCTCACTAGGTGGGCCAAGACAGGTACTTTGGGCCCCTCTGGAGTGGGGTTGTCATATAGATCGGACCATACTGATGTTGCAATGCATATTGACAGAAATAGCACTGATTGGAGAACCCATTTGAGATTTGACCAATTTGTGTTCTTGTTCTTGGCACAAAGAATGAGATATTAGCATATTGCGATGGTTCCCCCTAAGTCAAAATCAAACCCCTCTTTTGAGTCTGATTGGACCCCACGATATTAGCCAAGCCCACTATTTGTCAATTTTCGGTGAACACATAGGAGATAAGTTTTAAATGATTCAACGCTCAAGCTCAACTTTATAATCCGTAAAATTATACAATCTCGACTTATTTATCATTTAGTAGAGCCTTAATATATATGGTTTTTAAAGCCGAGTTTTAAAAAAACTGACGAAACAAAGTCACACCGTAACCAAGGCGGAGTACGGCTAAATATGGAAACCACCTCGTTAGAATTCATGTACAGTTTCTATGTGCAACTTAAAAGAGTTTATTTCATGCAAACCCTTGAAATCAAACACAACAAGGTATATATAAACTCTCCTATTACACCGTTAATAATTAAGACCTAATCTTTGATTCCAATAGCAACAATAAACCAGACGAAATCAGAATCGCACAAAGAAGACGAACAGATTAAATACCAAAAGCTGCTTAAGGTTGTTTCGCTCAAAATAATCTCAAATCACCAGATTTAAGCAGTGGAAAGAAGTAACATGAACAATATACGGACAAATATTTGTCCGTAAAATGTTTCAACAGTTGAGAATGTAAGAGAACTGGGAAGGTAGAGTATATTCATCTCAGGCATTTTTCCCTACTTGTCAACTTGAAGTGACAGCATATTGTAGTTCAATTTGAACCATTTGGAAATGGACAAAGAAATCAAGAATGTGCGAACCAAAATAAATGCATTTGTACCAAAGTTCGCATAAAATAAAACCCACGTTAAACATGCGCGAGGCCTTACACAAGAGAAATTTCGTACTAGAGTTCACACAACATAAAACCAAAGTAAAACATGTAAAGGTATTAGCATCATGAAATCGTTTCGATAGACAACAAAATCCAAAATACAAACATACATATAGTACCATGATACTCCCGTAACTGAAATGCACCACATAAATTCACAAATCGTGACTTCACTAAATAAAGATGCACAAACTACTCAACATGTATTCGAAAAATAGTAAAAAAGAAACGGTTGTGCTGCAGTTTACATACACACGATGTCTAAAAGATTAGTTCAAAATTTCTTCAACTGAATAGAAAAAACTTCACCACTCTCTTTTTTTGACACCTCATCTATATATAAATCATTATATAACTTCATTATGCACAAGTAGCATAAATCGAGGCAAACTCAGGAGAGTATCCAACCTTGTGAGAACGCAACTGCACGTCTCCCCAATAGCTCGAGAGTCCAAAGGAAAGTCGAGTCCAGTTAATACTGGGTTAGGCCTAAACTATAGATCACATCCGTACATATAATAAATAATGTGATAGGCACAAATAACTACATGTATAATAAATCGAAAGGTAAATATCTCGACGAATAGTTAAAAATGTAAAAATCATGTGAACACAAGAAAGTGTCGAATCTTGTGCCGAAAGACGAACAAGAAAAACTTAAACAACAGTATGTGGCACCTTTGAGTGTTCACATATGAGGAGACAATGCAGTTTATATAATATAATAGAAACAAGTAATGTTAATCAAATTATTAGGCCTCCAAAAGCAGACAGCACAGGATAATTAACAATGGCAGAAATGTCAATTGCGCCGCTAAGAAAATAAAATTATATGCTAATACAAAAAATTATAATATTTTTCAATGACATGATAGTCAACATTGCAGATTAATTAGAGAACTAACCTGTCCTTCAAAGTCAAGGAAATACAAAAAAGACTGAGGAAACTTACAAAACAGATGAATTAAAAACTGACTAATAATTCACACATTGTGTTGTCCTCATATTCTACCTGCATGCAACTTCTAAACAAGGTTGACAAGACTCAATTTCAAGAAATTTTGAGAGAGCATACAATCAAGAGCCGCCTGATTTTCTTGAAAATGATATAGGGAGAAAATTCAGCAGACTTTTCCAAATAACTATACAAAACCAGGAATTTTCGAGAAAAACAATGATCAAATCAGTTCTACAGAAGCATTTAGGCTTCGCTTTAGTAGACTGTATACACCAATTCAGAACCATGAGAAATCGCATTAAAAAATACAAACGATATCCAAAAGATATATCCACTTACTGCTTATCCTTATTTAGCAACACATGATTCTACTGCAGTAAAACAGTGAAACATAAGTTCATACATTAAATATTTAAGGCAAAATGCTTATGAAATTAGACAAAACTATGAAGAATACAGTTCCTTGAGACAGTTTCAAAGAATGGCTAAAAGACAATGAACCAACAGTTTTTTTTAAACAAGATTTTCTCAGAAAAGGAATTATTATGCACGTATGGCCAAACGTTGAGTGCATAATTGCATATGAAAATACAAGATAAAGATTATACATATATATTAGCCCATCTAAACTAGATCTAAGGGAATTATCTTTCTTTGGCAAATGATGATACTCTAGAAAAATTATTAAGGCATATTTAGAGCAGACCTAGCTAGAGGCTAGAGATGAAACTGAAAGTGAAAGGAAGGTGTTAATAATAATTAAAAGTCTACAAGAAGAATAATCAAGAACCTATTACTAACAGTTATGAAAAGATTAGAATTACAGTGGAATTTCTTCTTTGAGTCTTCGCATCCACTGCTTTGAGACCCCTAAAGATTGAAAATTTTCTTAAATCAATTTATTGGAATACCGTAATTTGATCCTCCTAGTAATCCGCCGCCTTGGGCATAAGCATCAGGGGTATCAAGAACTGGGGACGAAGAGGAAGCCACATTTCTTCCCTCGCCGCCGGCACCTCCTCCAGCCCCACTACTGCTACCACCTAAATGCAAGTCTGATATGTTGGGAAACCCGTCTTTTTGTTCGACTCCTTGATCGTATAAAAATCCTTTGAAAACATGGCCTCCAATTCTCACTACAGCTTGATATGCATACTCGTCGTCCCCATCATCAACTGCAGTCACTTTAACACACTTGAACACTGCTTGGGCTCGAACTTGGCCTGGAAGTGGCTCTTTAAAGCTTGCACCTGTGTGGATATTAATAATTCTTAATGTTAAAGAACGTGAAATTTATTTGTCCAGAATGTAAAAAATTGTAAAACAAGAATACCTTGGTGGCTAGAACTGGTGTCAAAGCTTCTAGGAGGGGTGTTGTTAGAAGTTGAAGTATGAGAAGCTGTAGTTGTTAAAGAAGTGCCGAGTCGAGGTTTTTTGGCGCCAGAAGTGGACTGAGAAGACCCTGCGGTGGCGGCAGTAGCAGCCATAGCCAGCCGTTCACGACGGCGTGCAGCAGGAACCCAAGTGCTTTTCAAATGTGTAGCACAGTCATAACCTCTACTTCTACAACAAGTCCTACACCTTCGCCGGCTACAATCTTTTTTGGCTTGATTTCCACAGTCTTGACATGTGATTGCTCCGGACGAAGAACCTCCAATTCCATTGCCGCCACCGCAGCTACTTCCTCCGCTACCGGTCTGAAGTAGAATACTATGATCTTGAATCATAGGTTTCTTCGAATAAGATGAAGTGTTTTGTACCTGCTGATTTTGCCACAGTTGCATCCCACTTCCACTGCGATTTCGTGTATTACTCAATAAGTCCTCATCTGTAGAACCCATATTTAGACAAGGGGCCGCCGTGAGGAGAGGAATCACACCAACGCCGATGGCGGCCGCCGCGTTAGATGAATTAATGCCATGAGAATCAAAGTTGATGGTGGTGGCAGTGGCAGCCTCCTGGTGGTGGTGGTGGTGCTGAGTATTATGATGGAAAGAAGAAGCAGGCGTAACGACAAAGAATTCCGGAGGTAGGCCGTAGTTAACATGCCTTGTGGTAGCAGATGAGGGCCACATTCCTCCACCAGAACCGGCACCGGTCCCGGTGATGTTTGTGTTATCACCGGCGGTGGGTCCGGCATTGAATCCCAAAGAAAGGTCCCCCGCGGATGACGATGAAGCCACCCAGTCCGCAATGGCCCCAGAATCTGACTGTAGCCTCCTAGTAGTAGCCACAACTGCAAATTCTTGAAGTCCTACTCAAAATACTGACAATATTACACAATCCATACATACAACTAAATATACAGATGCAAAATTATGTCTCTGTCAACCACAAGACGGATTCTTTCTAAATCTTGAAAAATCTAAGAAAAGGTGGGGTCTCTGTAATTCTTCCAGCAGAAGAAGATTTTCAACGACTCATACAGAACCCACACAGAGATAGGTAAAAAAAAAAAGGATCTTGAACAAAGGGTATGACTTTATATATGCAATTACTTCTATTAAATTCTGAGACAAAGAGCGATCGAAAGAAGGGGGCAGGCTATTGAGCTTCTACTCCATATCACTGCTACTTACTGCTACTGTCGCCTTGGCTTTTTTGATGAAAAAAGTTTCACTGTGAGAGGGACTTGTGACCATCCCTGCCAGTAAGTAGTTATAGCAGAATTACACCAGAGAGAGAGAGAGAGAAATCAGAAGCAATAACACACAAACGAAGGACCCCTTAAACAGAGAAACGCTATCTTTTCTTGTGTATTTGGTGCCGACCTTTCTCTCTCGTCATCAAACACTTTGAACTTTGCTCTCTTTCTCTATCTCTCACTCAAAGAAAGTGCAAAAAATGAGGTGGGTTCCTCGCAACCTCTCGCGTAGAGATGTTGACTCTGGTGGGTTTGTGAATTGTGATTATTGGAAAGAGAATACTACAGGGAGATAAAAAGAGTGTGTGTGAGAGAGACTGAGAGAAAGAGTGTGTGTTTCTTGTAGGTTTTGTAATGTTTGGAAGCCCTAAAGTCACATGCCTCGCTTTAATTTTATTAATCTTTACACGGCAAAATAATAAATTATAGCTTATAAGTATTAAGATATATCTTCCCCTCCAAAGAGAGTTAAGGTCAGCCAACTTATACCCCTTTTTTCCCACTTTAAGTGGCCAATGTATTTATAAATAAATTCACAAATTAAACTGTCTTTTATTAAAAAGTTTCAAATTTAATCATCATTCAAGGTATAGTAATGAGTTCAAATATTAATGAACTTTAACTTTATTTATCTTAATACAATTCATATCGATTTATTAGTGTGTAAAATCTATTTTAAGATACGCTTTGATGAAAAAATATGATCGCTTGATCAAAACTCAACGGAATTGATGGCGCTTGAGCTACTTCCACTTCGAACTCCATATCGAGTTATTTTTGTCACATTTGCACCTTATTCTCATTTGTGTCACTATTATTATTATTATTTTATTTTATTTTTTGGGGAAGGGGGTTGGATTATTGATTCTCTTGCAGTTATACCTAAGGACTTGAGGTGCAACGAAGTTAGGCCGGCATCATAGATTGTTGGAGGGAGAAAAGTCAATGGCAAGAAAAAAGTTAGAAAATAGGGTACGAGTTCTTGTATATGATAAGTTGCTTGTTTATTTTTTGCACACATAAGTCGAGGAGATAAGGAAATTAGGCTATGTTTGATTGGTTCAAATTTTATGAAAAATGGAATTCTAATTCGACTTTCTTCTAATTTTGTTTGTTTGATAGATTTTGAATTTCATGGAATTTGGTTTCTTGATTTTCTTGGAACTTGAAATTTTCTTGGTTTTCCCTAGTCCTTTGTTACATTTTTTTTTAAGTAATGAGATCAAATTCTAAGAATTATTGTAAAAAAATATTTCATTTTAATTGACAATTTTCATGTAAAACAAAGTCAAACGGACAACAAAAGATAAATAATTTTCTTGATTTTTTTATTTTTATTTTTTTGTTGGTAATGGAAACAAATTTCATTCCCAATACCAGTAAAATATATCCCTTTAATTGACAATTTTCATGTAAAACAAAGTCAAACGAACACCAAAAAAATACTTTTATTTTAATATTTTCCACGTGGAAAATTATATTAATCAAACACAATAATTTACAATTCTCAAGAAAACAATTTCTAGACAATTCAATTCCCTAGAATTTGTTTTCAATTCAATTCAATTCAATTCCATCTTTACAATCAAATGGACCCTTATTGTATTAATTTTTCAGAGTGGATTTGGCAAACTACATTTAATTCATATTTTCCTTTTATTTTCTCCATTGTTTAGTTTTCATTGCACCCGAAGGATATATTTTCTCAAAGAAGTTGAAGAGAAATAGGATGTGGGTAGTAGTGATGTATAAGGAAAAGGACTTCACGTCACAATTAAAAGAGGACTTCTACAGTCATACCCAACTGAGCTTACATTTTGTCTCCATTTCCTTTTTAATTCATTATTTTCAATCAATAATTTTTTCTACTTTTTATTTACACGATCTTCAGAAAAAATATTTTCACAAAACATAGTCTCAAAAATTCTTTATAAAATAGAGTCAATATTTCAATCGTGGCTTTTTAAAAGAATGCACGGCACCAAGAAAAACCTTGCAAATCGGAGAAAGGAAAAATTAAGGAAAAAAAATAATAGAGGGCTGTTTGATAGCAATTAATTACAAATTTTAAGTAAAAATTTCACTGTTGCTTGTCGTCATTGTGAACTTTTTTCTCACAAAAACTTTCACATGGAACCCACTAACAGTTGAAAAATTCATTATTTTGCCCTCTAAAATCAGGCCAGACAAGCACTAAATTAATAACCTCGCTAAATACATAACATAATAAGTTTATTTTAAATCCCTTGTCGACAAACTAAAATATAAAGCAATTGAACTCGACCACTCTTGAAAATATGCTTTTAAAGTTGATTGCTCTTTCTTTGAACTCAATCTCATCATTAATTTTTTGTAATATACCATATTTTACATATATGTTCATTTTGTAGAAAGTATTTATTTAAGATTACGAAGTTTGAGATGCTTCTTTTGAAACATTATTAATAAAAATAGTTATCATCTAAGTAACAACCTTTCTCAGTATGCTTATTTAATATTCGTCTAATAAAATATACTTGTGTAGGCTATTCGATCTTCATACCCTTTTAGTTAGGGCAATTCAAAATGTGTCGACATTTGTAACAATTTTGTAGTATTAACTAATAATGAGTTAATGTAATCTACGATAAATTATTAAATTATTTATTTTTTCCTATCTTGATATTTATTTATCCTTGTAAATAGAAGAACGTTTCTCGTGACACATGAAAAATATGTAAGTAAGTTAAATTGTCACCTCAGTCGGTGCAACCCACCAAACACATTGTAACAAAATTTACTCCAGATGTAGGCGTGGGGGGGCAGGGGACTTGAGATGGTGCAAAATTCCATTAAAAAGAGGCTACGGCCAAGTGTGATTTATCAATCATTTCAATCTTCACCTACAATTATTCTTTTTATAGGGCTCTTGAAAAGACAATATTATTTTATTTTGTAATTTGATAATATTAAAAAGAAAATTAATTAAATTCAAATTTTATTATTCATATATGTTAAATAAAGTTTGGTGTAACGAACATGTTATTAATTTCATATTGACGACTTACACAATTTACGATCCAATCGAAATTAAATTTTCCTAGCTTTATTGCACTCTAGCATTGTTGAATGTAACTTCTGAACCAACCCGTAAAAATGCATATCGACTAACCCCCCCCCCCCCTCGTCAAAGTTTTAGTTGTTAAATAATATGAATTTGTGGTATTTACCATGTTTATTGTAATATTGCGTTAATGCTTACCGACTAAAAATTAAATTATCTATATTTATCATGCTAAAGGACTGATATCAGCTCGCGATTATCATATCTATTTCAAAAATACACATTTTTACAATTTTGATTATATTTAAACAATATTTGAAAAATTTGTTGAGGAGGGAGCCCTACTTACTAAAATGATGTCAACACGAGCTTTCTTTTTATCAAAACTCCAACATAGTTTTGTCTCAATTTCCTTCATCGACCCCACCCCGTAACCCCACGACCCTATCCTTGCACTATGCATCCTTTTGTAGTTTTCCCCTCACTTTCACCTCGTTCTAATCCTCTAGTAATAATCATTGTACCGTCTACTTTGATGCCCCATAATATTATCTAAATTAATTCATTATGCTCTTCGTGGAGTGGCCGAGTTGATGAAATAGATAAGCGCGAAGGTCTTTGATCACGATTTTGATTTTCTCGATCGACACTTTGTCGATCCAGCTTGTCGCACAGGGCTTACCTAGTGCTGTTTATCTGGTTGACGTGATTTGCAAACTATTGCGTCAATCCGAGAGTTTACTCAATGCACACCCGAGTGGATGCGGGTTCTCCCGTCGTAATAAAAAGTAACAATAAAATCAATTTGTTATAATAACCTCTACTAAGGATTCGTTTGATATGATTTTTACTTTTATTTCTTTATAAAATGAGATCTTAGGTTTTTAAAGAAGCTGCTTTAGTTTTTATTTGAAAACTAACTACCAAAAGTGTTTTTTAGAGAAAATCAAATTGGATAAAAAAAACACTTTTAATTAAAAGAATCATTTTTATGGAATTAATCAAACGAGTTTAAAAATAATTTTAGGGTCTCAAAAGTTTATTTTGACTTTTCAAAAGTCTGGACGCTTAAATAGCATTTATTATAATTTTAATTGAATACGCCAAACATAACCAACAAGCACCACATATTCTTTGTACGGTATAATTTGATGAGCTAAAAATAACCATCGAATGCTGAAAGATCAAGTCACCATCGTACATTAGATCTTACTGCCTAGTTGACTATTTACAGATCACAGAATCTGGACCGTGCGTTATCATTTAAACCCGCGGTCCCGTTATAATCATTATTTTCTCATAATTATGATCAACGGTCTAAAATCAAAGAAAACTCACCAACAAAGCCTAAAAAATCGCTAACTTTTATTTGTACTTGCTTTACTTTTTACGACATTTAATTTTAATAATATTTTTATCTTACTGCAAAGCTAGTAGTCTACATAATTTCAATTTTGACCCCGGAAAAGGACTTACTTTGAACTTATCAATGCTATTATGGGTGACCAAAATTAACGAGTTAATTGTTTCAATGGTCACTGAATTTAAATTCATATTTTTTTATTGTCACTGAAGTTTAAAATGTCGAATTTTTATCATTGAACTTAGGTTCATATCTTCGATTGCCCACTAAAAGTTAAAATGTCGAGTTTTGACTACTGAACTTTGAAAAATGTTGTACCTCACTGTAAACTCGACATTTTTTAAAGTTCAACACTTAATATTTTTCAAAGTTCAGTGATCAAAATTTGACATTTTAAATTTCAGTTAACAATCGAAAACATAAATCTAAGTTCAGTGACCATTGGAACAATTAATTCAAAATTAACCATGTATTAAGAAAAAAAATACCAAGACAAAATATTCACGACTCATATCTGCCATTTTAGGACATCGTGGATGAAACTGTGCTTCGCATCTTGTTTTGATAAATGCAAGATAACACAATGAATAACGTATTTATATTACAGTTTTCAAATACTTCGACATAAACAAAGTCGAACAACATGATTAGTGACTCTATGTAAATTAGAGTGGGAGATCGTATACTGTTGCCATGATATTAGGTTTTGACAACTATTATTTGGAAGAAAACAATGTTTAAAATAGTGATTTTTAAGAGAATGTATGGTCAAAAAGTACGAAAACAAATTTAGATTTACGTATAAAATATTTTATTGAATGAATGCGTAGTTGAAAATAAATGTTTAGAAAAAAGGTTTCCAAATAATGATTGTCAAACAAGTTTCTAAATTATTTTTTTTTCAAATT